ACCGCTCAAGCCACTTTCCCGTCCCCACCCACAGCAGCGGCAGGAGCACACCTGCCTACAGCGCCAATGTCTCTCGAGGCAACACGCCACTACCACAGCCCTCCTCCAGCAGCAATGCGCTTCTCGACGACGATGACGACATGTTTGGTCTCAAGCAGATGGCGCAAAAGTCCACGTCGCCTGCTCCACCGCCAGCGAACAACGCTGCCGACGACGATATACTAGGCTTGCTAGGAAAGCCAGTCTCCGAATTCCAGCACAAGGAAGAGCCTCAGACAGCACCCGCGGAGGAATCTCGACAACAAACTTCTCCAGGCCCTCAGAACGCGCACGACAAAGCTGTTGCTGAACTTGTGGACATGGGATTTCCAGCAGAAAGGTCGGCAATTGCTCTTGCGACCACTGATTCTGGGCTCGACGTACAGGCTGCTGTAGGATGGCTGTTAAACCAGGCGCATGCCGATGCGAAACAGAAAATACATTCGCAGAGCCAGGACAGATCACGTCGAGAGCCTGATGAGTCAGACGAGCGCCCGAGGCGTGGGAACAGCAGGTCTAATGGTCGGGAGTCGTCAAGAGAACCACGGGCAAGCGGCTCTAGACCCGCGTGGATGCAAGAAGATGAAGCGCGAAGCCGTTCAGGACAACGTAGGCAAGAAGGTCAAGAAAAGGACGTTACCCAAATGGCTTCAGAGATTGGCAACAACCTGTTCAAATCGGCGAATTCTCTCTGGAAGACGGGCCGCAAACAAGTACAAAAGGCTATGGCCGATTTCCAACAGGAGGGTGATCCAAACATGCCAAAGTGGATGAGAGACGCTCAGGCTGCGGAAGCTGCTCCTCGTTCAAGTCGACAGCAAAAGGCCGAGGCGTCGGCTACAGACGAAGCCATGATGCTGGAAGCTGGCGGGCGTCCCACGAAGCCATCCCGGACGAGCGACATGCGCCACCAAGCCGAACCGCTACCTGTACGACAAAGAAGAGAGCAAGAAACCGGACGAAACGGTTACCCAGATCGCATGTCATCGCAATCGCCGTCACAGCGACAGCAGCCATCAAGTTTGGATAAACGACCAGCAACGCGATTGACCCGACAAGAGGTAGAGGAACAAAGCTCCCAAGCATATGTCAGTCCTGCTCGCCGGAAGAAGACTACACCGCAGCCACAGCCGCAGCCTGAAGTAGATCTTTTCTCTCCAGATCCCACGCCGCCGTCAAAGCAGTCTTCGCGCCAACCAACGCCTGCTCAATCCAACAATCCATTCTTCCAAGCAACATCATCCCAGAAAGCTCGAAGTCCGGCTCCTACGCCAACGCCACCCAGGCCAAAAGCACCGCCCCGTCAAATACCTCCAGTCTCATCCTCCGCGCTCAGCTCATCTTCAGCCGACCGACAAAGAGGTTCCGAAGCATTCAAGCGTGGTGATTACTCTGCTGCACACGCTGCCTATTCTTCTGCACTGAGCCCTCTTCCAAGCAATCATCCCGTCACGATCATTGTACTCTGTAATCGCGCCGTTACGAACATCAAAGTTGGCGATCCGAAGGCGGCAATTGCGGATGCCGACTCAGCTTTAGCGATAATCGGCGTGTCAAGAGGAGAAGGCGAGAAGATTGCTACCGGTGGAATGGAGGGCGAAAAAGACATGAAGGAATTCTATGGCAAGGCTCTCATGCGAAAAGCCGAAGCACTGGAGAACATGGAGAAGTGGGCAGATGCACATGGCGTATGGAAAGAAGCCGTTCAAAATGGTGTAGGCGGCGCAATCGCCATTTCCGGTCGCAACCGCTGTGAGAAAGCCGCAAGTGGGAATAACAACGCCCCGACAGCTACTAAACGCCCGCCTCCAGCCCGCAAGCCCGCTGCTCCTAAACCCTCTGCCATGTCAGATCTTGGTGGTGGTCCCGCCAATGACTCCGAAGCCGTCAAACGCATGAAAGCCGCCAATGCCGCCGCTGAACGTGCAGACGATGAGAAATTTGCCCTTACCGACCAAGTCGATGCCAAACTCATTGCTTGGAAGGGTACCAAGTCAGATAACCTGCGTGCGTTACTGGGTAGTTTAGATAAAGTGCTCTGGGAGGATGCAGGGTGGAAGAAGGTCAACATGGGCGATCTGGTCATGCCGAACAAGGTCAAGATCATCTACATGAAGGCTATTGCCAAGGTGCATCCTGATAAGGTATGTTCTCTCCTCTCCCATGTCCAAAACAACACGACGGTTTGCTAACCTAATTTGTTACAGATATCTCAATCGGCCACCACAGAGCAGAAGATGATTAGTGCGGCTGTGTTTGCCACATTGAACGAGGCGTGGGATAAGTTCAAGACGGACAACAATTTATGATCTATCTAGCTATCTCGACATGATGAATTCAAGAGCATGTCAACTTTAATCATTGTTTGAGTCGTCATATTGAGTCGTCGAGAAGAGGCACGTTTGCTGTAGTAATCATGTCGTCCCGATATCGTATTTCTTTGATCTATTCCGTCTAATGTAGGGATACAGGGGCGGCAAGATCACCATCACTGCACTACTCATTACTAATCCCTCCATCTCCAAGATAAACTTTAGGTACGTTGCTGCATCTCGGCCACTACTTTGGGTACAAGAGCGGAAAGACCTGCCACTGCGTTCTCACCCAATCGTTCTTCCCTCCTCGAGAGCGCTTTGTATCCGCTCTATCCACACGCAAGAGCCGTAGTGGTGGTACCTTGTCACGGCCTCGGCCTCGGCCACCAGCAGCCAGCTAGAGACGTATCTTGCGTCATGCCGAGTTTCCGTCGAACGTTTGAGTATCCACCTCATGTCTATTCTGCGGAGCAAAGCGCAGTAAGAGAACTTAGTTTTAGGCCATCTTTCCAATGACCTGAAGCTGATGGAGACGTGATGGTGAAACTTAGAAAGACTTGGCAAGATCGTGAAACTCTTCTCTGCCTTCTCCTGCAAACGTTCTTGCCCTTTACTCTGTTGGTTTGCTAGCTCTTATTCAAGATACTCTGGCGCTGAGTTTCGCATCCTGAAGTGGAAGGTGCGCACGTGCATGAACGGCCGGCCCTGGAACACCTGGGCACTGAAGCTTGTACTCGTGTGACGTGTCGTGTTGAAAAGCTAGATTTGTGGAATCTGGTCCACTAATGCTGTCTCTTCGGTTATGCGGCCGAAGGAACATGTTCTTGGTATGACACAAAGACGACGACGCAGGTGATGCTGCTGGAAAAACAAGGACACATCTGGAACGCATTTTACGAGATACGCTGTCGAAATCGGACCGGGCAATGTAAATTCGCCGGTTTCCGCTTGCTACATTGCTTTTGGTTTCCGCTAAATTACGTTTCGGGTAGTTAGTAGGTCGGTTCTTGTCCCGCCCGGTAATCATGGAGGGAAAAAAGGGAGCGGTACTAGTATCAGAGTTTGGCACGTTCAATTAGGGCATTTGGTCGAACTTGTGGTGGCTGCCCAGGTAGAAATTGTCATTTCGTATTTACTCTGGGACCGCTCGAAACAGACTTTGGCTAGATCTCAGCTCCGATAGCTTGCTTCTGCTGCTCGAACAATGAGCAGACGATGATCTTGTTTGCTTGTTCGCTCAAGTGCGCTGGCAAGTGCCGACCTCGGGACAGTCTAAGGCGGGAGATGGTACGCCAAAGTCTTAGTTGCGGGCTATGAGGCCGTGTGTCACGTTTCCGCCTCTGAAGAAGCGCGTGGTCGGTAGTTTCCCGTACTACCGGTAGTCGTGGACTTTTTGCTAGTTACCCTTAGCGGGGAGGCACTACTGCCTCCTTGCGCTTTCGCATCTAGATCACCGCTGCCGTAACATACATACCGTGTGGGTGATGCTGTGATCAGCTGGCACGTTTTCGGACTTCCAGTGCCACAGGCCTGGGCGATACATCTTGGTACCAATGGTGATCGGTCGTAAAGTGCATATGATGTCGTCATGATTATCTCCTTGCTGTACATCAATTAGCCGACCGCTCTCGAGCTTCGATCCGCGGGCCTCCTCCTTCGTATACCTCATCTGTCTGTTGTTGGATTATGGGTGTGGACCGAAGGCGTCCCGGTGGTGGTGTGGTGGAGCGTCAATTGACCAGGGAAGTGTGCGATAATCTTCGACTTGCAAGTCACACATAGGGTCCCTTGGCTTGATCTTAGACATTGTGGCTTAGAAAGTCCCGCGTCCCCGCATGAGTCAACCTTGTTGCTTGCTTATTGCGGTCACAGCGCAAGTGTAGCACCCGAGGTGCAAGGTACGGGTACTCTATTTCCGCGAAGTGGATTTCGGGCAAAGCAAACGCGTTGTGTGAGGGAGTACTGCAGCAAAGCTCGATCATGCTGTGATGATACCGCTTCCACATGAGCAGGATTTACTGCCTAGGTCTTACGAAGTGAGATATCTGCTATCTCGTAACACTACGACACATGATTTAGAGTCCTCGAGTAGTTAAAGATTCTGTTTATAATATCGTTTGATGGTACAAGGTGCCAATCATTATGCGCGCATGATCTTGGTAAGTGATAATTGTACAAAGCCGCTCCATGACACATGGCCGAGAATGAGAATGAGACTTGAAAGACAAGAAAAATAATACCGCATGAACCTTTGCGAAAGCATCCTCCGTCCATTCACGGCTTTTGAGAGTAGTACGAATACAGATTTCTCGTGAGTTCACAACTTGAAGAGGGCAGCGTCGTGGGGATAACATGCGATCATCGTCCATATACGAACGCACTCCTAATAGGCCATAGGAGGCCGAATCGCTTTTCAGCCCTTGCAGATGCATGCTCTCTGTCAGAGCGGATTCTGCTGATGCTGGGCGCGTTGGCCAGACGAACACGGTTTGGAGATCGGGCCGAGGTTTATGCAGCGTGCGACACCATTGCATAACCACAGATCCGAGACAATTACAAGAAGCGCATACAAAACCGATGTGGTCCAAGGAAAAGACGTAAGCCGGCATTGGTTCGTGGAGTAGCAAGTATTGATGGACAGGCATTTTACTGACTCGTAAGCTGACCCACAACGCCGAAAAGCAACTGGTCTTCGGTCTTATACAACGCATCATCGTTTCCGAAAGCCGTCTCAAGACTGTTGCCGATCCTCCAGAAATTTCCGTAACTTCCGTTGCTTATGCCTTGGCCCTGTTGTGCGGCAATATCCATGAGCTGCTTGATCCGATTCGATACTGTCTTCTGCTGCGCTTTTGCAGAAGCCCAAACGCCTGCTAGTTCGTCGATACAGGTCAGTGTAGTGTTGAGTGTCTCGATCAAAGTCGGCAATGATGATAACAGCCCGGCAGAGGTCAATACATCGACCGAAAGCATGAGCGCGTAACCAGGGAAAGGCGTCGAGAACGAGAGGTCCGAGGCAACGGTGGGCGAAAGACGTTGGCGGCTAGCTGGAGCTAGGGAAAGCATCATCGACAGAAAGTTGGACGCCATGCGTAGGGCTCGTTCCAGATTTCGGCGTTGTTTTTCCATTGGTAATATGCTGACTCTGATATGGCGATTGAGCCGGATGATTGTAGCGTAATACAAAGCGTGTATAGACACGAATGTACCTGCGTATCCTGCAACCATGCTGTTGTCGAGATTTCGTGGGCTGTAACGAAGCTCCTCCGGCAACACCGCATGCCATGCTTCCAGCTTCTCATTGATTCGCGTGTAGAACGTGTCGTAATGTCGTTCATAGGCACTGTCGGGCCGACGCGCAGCTCGGCTAGTGAAGGTAAGGACCTCGCCCCATAGCGTCGATATCAGGCATAGATACGCCATGTGGCCAAGAACGGGGCCAGGAGTGGCATTTCCACTCAGGAGATCTTCGTCCAGGATCGGCGCGTTACACGGTGTTGATGCATCGTACATGCTGTCCAGACATGGGAGCTGAACGAAGGCATCCTCCAAGTTGAGGACGAAAAGGGTCCCTCCGAAGAAGCCATTGTATCGCTGTTGTTGCATCAAGTCAACGGATGCTGGGACCTTGATGACGTCGTGACTTACATCCATCAGTAGTCCGGACCAAAAAGTGCGACGACAGCACTCCGCGAACATTTGACGATCAAGTCCATAGTCCCAATCGGCACTGCTATCAACCAGCTCTTTAACGCCTTCTTCAGAATTCAGCTTCAGAGCGCTGAGAGCTCGCAGACCAGCACCACAATAGTCCCAGGCTTCCTGTGACTTGCCGCGAGCAAAATAGTAGAGCGCGAGCATCAGCCGAGTCTGGCATAACTGCAGGCTGAATTTCCCGAACCGCTTTTCTGCTGCATATGACGCAACCGAAGCGAACTTCTTTCCCAGGGCTTTCTTATCTCCATCAACCGAGAACAGTGAGCCTATAGCCAGGACTGAGTATAAAAGCATCAAGTGGTCGTGGTTCTTGTCGCGGTTACCCTCTACCCATGCGAGGAAGGGTCTACGAGGAAACATGCCATAGGTCGCGCGACCTGCGTGATTGAAATAAAGATCCAGTAGGTGCATCGTCAGTCCAGGGTCAGTTTCGAAAGGATCCTGTTCCCATTGGAGGGCAAGTTGATCGGAGTAAGAGCCACGTCCGGGATCGTCAAGGCTCTGGTCATTTGCCGAACCACTCCAATCCGAATCGTACGACTGTACCGACATGTCTCTCGGGTCCGTGCTAGTATGATGGCGGTACTTTCGAGGTCTGAACGGGGTTCCGGAGTTCCAAGTGTCAACCTTTCTTGATGAGTCTCGCAGCTCTCCGGGAGCTTTGTTTCTATCTGAGTTGGCTGCGGGACTCAAGACTTCGGACGAATGGTTCTTAAATAGCGGAGCGGAGTTTGACGGTGATGTCTCGCCGGATGCATTGCTTTGATTGAGTCCTCTACCATTGGTTAGTATTTGTCATTCTATAATAGAACTATAGTCCTGTCTGGTCCGAAGTGTATAACAAGTCAATTAAGTCAATGCGTTCCACGTTCTCGAATGAGAAAAGAAGGGAACTGCAAACAGGGAGATCCACTTACCCTCTGCATACTCTTTGCGACTTGGCGCATTGCTGGCATTTTGGATACCCAGGCTCGCACTTGATCTTCTTCTCTCGACAGGTAAGGCAAGCCTGCGCGAGTCGTTTTCGAGGCTTCCCCGCCTTCGTAATGCCCCAGGAAGGGTTTACGGCCTCGCCGTCTATTATAGCCCGACAGTAGGTGCCGTCCTCGTAGACATAGCATGGGCCTTCGCCAGGTATATCGCGCTGGCCCACACAACGCGACGATCGTACCGGAGCTCTTGAGGAACCCTCCAGTCGTCTCATCCTGACAGGCCTACTTGGGTCAAACCCTAGTTCTTGCTGAACGGAGTGAGTTGTCATCGTTCCCGTCGCATCAGACATGAGCGAAGCTTGCCGATGCCCATTTACCGCCAGCTCATGCTGTGAAGGATGTGCAAAACTTTCGCGCCGTTGGAGATCTACTCGGCCGACACCAAACCCAGAGCCGGGTGGTAAGGATGTGGTGGATGTGGTGGCGTTTGTAGTCGAAAGAGGTTGACGGTGGTGGTAGGGTGTTTGAGAAGCGATAGCATTATGCTCTGGGTAGCCATGGAAGTAACCATCATATTCATGCCGTCTCTTCAGTGTCGGACTTGACGACCCGTAACGACCGCCATGGCTGTAAGGTACCGGAGCGCCGCCCGCTCTCAGCGATGGATCAGACGACTTCTTGTCCAGTAGCTCTGGTTCCAGAAGCGTGCGAAGACTTGGTAATTGCTGCGCATTGTTATGACTTCCACTGGAATCTCTGGGGCGAACGTGCTGACTGGGGGCAATGACTTCTGGTCGAGACGATGAAGCATGATGTGCTGGGTAAGGGCTGTAGGATGGCGGAGGACCTGAATGTGAGGGTATGCTGGGTGGACGACTCATGTTGAGAAGCATAGCAGGTAAGATGGGTTTTGATGTTCGGCGCTTGAGGTGGGATGATTTCCACGGTACACCCCGTTGACCGGCCACATGAGGGAATATGGAACAGTAGGAGCTATGGACTGCCTAGGATGCTCAAGGGATCCAGGCACTGCTCAACGCTTGACACTGATGCAGCCACGGCATCAGCTAGTAGACAACCTAACGGGTACATAAAGGTACGTGAAGAAGTCAGGAAGGTGGCCAACGAACAGAAGCGTCTGGCCTTGACTAGGATGTCCGTTGCAGTCTAGAAAATAGACCAAAGAATCAACAGTCCGTGCAGGGCTGACGTCTGACGACTGAGCACCGCTGTTCCGGCTCCGTATGAACCGCAACCGAAGCACAAAGCAACAGTGCATGTAAGAGCGTATGTAGGGGCGACGCGGGAAGAACTTACAGATGCAGGGATTAAGATATGCGGCGCGGGCGCTCCTTCTGGGCGCAATTGACACTGAGCACGCAGCGAGCACGGCTTCGGTTGCTTGAACGCAAGGCAAAGGATAATAGTAATAAGTACAATAATGCCGGGTAGCAAAAGTGGAGGGTGGGCGGACGACAGCGGGACCCCGTGCTCGGCCAGTCAAGAGGTTACCAGGAGGCCCTTGCAAGAACAGGCTTCAAGGAGGAGCGACCGCGGCCTCCAAGTAGGTCAGCGATTATTCCAGTGGCGTGCAGTGACGGACCGCCAGGGACATGGTCGTGGAGCCTTTGCTGTTTGAGACCCGAAGATGCTGGAACCGACCAGGGTATGAGCAAGCCAGCCGGAATATTGGCTGCAGATATCGAGTCAACCACCCTCTGCGGGCTAGATAGCGTGCTGCGTCAGATGCAGACTGATGCACGTTACTGCAGTCGTGGATGGCGCGTGGGCAAGTGAGCCCCAGATCGTACCAACTGGCAGCTGGCCAACCGCAGCTAATCCGCTAATGACCTGTGCAGATCATGCAGCGTGGGCTCGGAATGCAGCGAACATGTCCTTGCTATTTTGCCGCGAAACTCTGGGACCTGGCGTTAGGTTCTGGAGCGGATCCGACCAATAAGCTTCACTTAGATTGAGGCCAAGGGCTGGAAGCAGCTAAAACGTGCAGCCACCATAAACGACGCCTCTCGCTGCAGGAGAAAAGAGGGCAAATAAGCCGCCGTCAACGATGCGAACAGAAAGACAGGTGTCCCGGCGGCCGGCCCTACGGTGCCCACAAACAGCCTTTTGTCCCCGCTCGACAATGGACTGGCTGGTGCCAAATGCTGACACGAGCGATGCCGTTGTCGTCAGCTAAAAAGGCGCCGACAAATCCTAGCTAAAGCGGCACCAGAATCCGATCGGAACGAGCTCACAGCAGCCGTTGAGCGGGCGATTGAGACCATCTCGATCCTCTTACGTCCCGGATCCCCTAACGCCTCTGGCCTTGCTTGCATGAAGCCAACTTGGCCCGCTCCGAACGGCTCTAAGCTTAGCGGTCGGTTTCTTGACTGCAAGCTCCCGAGTCAATGCACATCTTCGGGCGCCTTGAGACTCCATATAATAAGGGCTTTCTCCGGATGCTCTGGTGGCTTGAAGACGAGATTTGGTCTGTCACATCATCTGGCCTAGCGATGGAAGCGCGTGCGCAGCGTGCTTGTCGTGCCGTCGAGGCTTGCTGCAACGACGATGCAGGATCGGCTGTCGTTTCCCGTTCTCGGCGATGACGCCCTCAAAACTTTCGCACCACCCGTATTTATTATGAGACAAAGGACCGAGTGATCAGGCGAGCGGCCGGGAACTGGCAAGGACTAAGGCGCAGGCACAAGCGGATCGCCGTTGAGCTGGACCGAAGCGAAGCGGCTTGCGAGTCAGTGCAGATGATGGGGTATCAGTGTATCGGGAACGAGAGTGCCAAGGTCACATGCACGCTCCGTCTGCTTACGTCGCTAGCGCAGTGCCAAGCCAACTCCGAAGTTCTTTGTGCAGGTGCGACCGGGGCGACTCGCAACAACAACACCAACGCTACTGACCGTGCCGGCAACCTCTTTGTCGACCTCGTGCATGCAACCAGCCTCTAAACCGGGCACATCCTTTCTAACATCTTCAAGTGTACAGAGACTCTGCAGCATGGCTCTCCAGTCCGGCCACCAAGTTCAGGAGCGCAAGTCCTCGCCAACTGCCGCTGCGCAGCCGGGCGACGGCCGCGCAAGTACCCCGGAAGTCGCGTATGTCAAGCCCTCGGATAGGGAAACTAGCTACACGTCAAGCGCCTCTGCGCCTCTCCCGTACGATGGTGGCGCGCCTCCCCTTCCCGACGAGCCTGTCCCAGACGACGAGGACGATGGCTGGGAGCCCAGGTGGGAGCCCAACGCAGGCGCCTGGTACTTCCTAAACCGCAAGACGGGTCTTTCGCAGTGGGAGAATCCACGCGTTCCGACCGCTCCAACCCACAGCCTCGGCTACGACAGGTTTGCTAACTATCATCTTCTTTTCGTGTCTTTCCCAGCCTAATACGTGCACTCTACAGAAACCCTTACGCTGGCGCCGCTGCACTGTCATCAAGCTCTGGCGCGCCGGGTACCAGCCCACCACCAAAGCGCAAGTGGGGCGGATACAACCCCAAGATCCATGGCAGCTTCGACCCCAACGCCGACTACGCCAAGGAGGCAGAGAAGGAGGAAGAGGATGCAGCGCAGGCCTCCGCTGCTGCAGCCTCCGCAGCTCGCAACGCGCTCCTCCCTAGCAATGACTACACTACAACTGCCCAGTTCAACCGTTTCAACGGCAAGCAGCAACAGGCTGGTCAAGGTCCTGAGATGCACAACGATGAAAACAAAAGTCATCGCCAGATGAATGCCTTCTTCGATGTTGATGCCGCTGCCAATAGCCACGACGGACGTAGTCTCAAGGCAGAGCGTCGCTCTCAGCACCTCAGCAAGAAGCAGCTCAAGGAGTACAACGAAAAGCGCCGAGCCGCGAAGGACGCGAAGCGCCGGGCCTGGCTTCTCGACTGAGCGTGTGGGCGGTAAGAAAGAGAGAATAGCAGTGCAGGTTCCAACGTGTACTAATGCAAGCTAGGCATGGGCAACACCCTTGGATTGATGATTGCATGTCTATCTGTCAAGGTAGGGTCTCACGTCTGTTCCGGTGCCTTTGGATGCGATAGTATAGCATGATAGAACTGTGTGTCTTCGCTCAGCGTCGTGGTATGAACCACACATGTTTTACATGAGCATGATGACTGCTCATTGTGTGCTCGAGCGGATGACCAATGATGAGAGCCAGTCTACTTTCTTGACTAGGTGTCTGGATACAGGTGGCATTGCCAGCAGGAGTAAGCCTCTATTGCTCGTAGTCACAACTGGAAGCTAGTAAGGTCTTATACACTTCAGTGCATGACCCATAGATACAATGGCATTTTTGTTGCCTTGTTCGTCAACCAATACTGCTCTCTTATGCCCCGCGTTCGTCTTTCTAGACCTTGCCCTGGAACCGTGGCTGTCTTGCACAGGCCCGCGCCACGTATTGCCCGGCCTTGCCATGAACCCCATGCCGTCATGTTCCTTGCAGGTCGCACGCCGTCAGTAATATACGTATATTGCGGCCAACGATGCAGCTGCTTCAGCCACCCTTCGAGACGACATCCTGGGTACTCATGTCCGCCATCTGCTTCCGAACGCCTTCCACTGTCGGTTCAGCTGCGACCCCTTGCGCCCGTGCATCGCTGTCTTGGGCGCGCTCCGCTTCTGCATCTGCATCATCCATGTTGTTGTCTGCGTCTCCGGCTTCCGGCTGGCCATTCTGTCCAATGCCATTCTCCAGCTCTTCTACGGCTCCGAGCAGCCAGTCTACCACGTCGTTCTTGTCGTTGATCTCCGCTTCGTAGACCGCATCGTGGCCCGCTCGGTTGATGATGGTGACGTCGGCGCCGGACTGTACTAGGAGTTTCACGCTTTCGAGGTGGCCGTTCAACGCAGCCCAGTGAAGGGGAGTGTTGCCGGCATCGTTGACTGCGTTTAGAAATGCCGGTTCGGGCTTCTCTGCGCTTGTCGAGAAGAGCACCTTGATAATATCTATGCTAGTCAGAATGGCTTTCGACCACACACGACTGGAGATATTACCGTTGTGACCATTGGCAGCAGCATAGTGCAGTGCGCTATTCTTCGAGTATGGGTCTATGGCCGCAGCGAACAGTTCCGCCTTCGATCGTTTGGTCTGTGTTGATAGTTCGGAGACGTATGAATCAAGCTCGGAAGGTTCGTTTGCGCGCGCCAGGTACAAGACCTCGTCTATCGCATCTTCGTCTAGTCCTGCCATCTCTGCTTGTCGGCCTGCGCTTTGGGGACCTCTGTGCTTCGAGTAAATATTTTCTGACAGGTCTGCCCAATGAGGAAAGCGGGGGCGGGGTGCAAGTAAGCCTGCTGGCGGCTAGTCCAGAACAGGCCGTAGCTTCTGAAGGACTTCTCGGGGCTGCAATCCACCGTTCGCGGCCGATGCTGCACCTGCCCACCCATCACTCTACATATGCAAGTGCGCATGCTTCCTGGCCATGCACTATACTCAAACAAGGCGTTTTACCTCCTTATCTTCCTCTCATCACCGGAATCTCAACTTGATACTACACCCTTACTGCAGATCCTGCACTGTTAATGAGAAGGTATAGCAATCAATCTATGGAAGCGCTAGAAGGTCAATACGCATGCACGAACTATGACGTGCAGCAATATGCTCTAGCTTGTCCTTGACTGTCGGTGTCTACCGACTTACATATTCCGAGTTGCTCCTGGCTCGCTTGTGCATTTGGCAGATTCCTTCCCACACCGGCTTTGACAGACTGACACAACGACTAAGCACCAGCAGAACCGAGAAGACGGTCCTCTCTAAATTTTACTCTCGAAACCTTCTTCTATTATCATCTCCTCGATTAGTAGGAAAAGGGTTGCGAACAAAACAGCGAATGGCTATCGCATGCACTCGGGTGTATGATGCTACCTCTGAAGATCATTGGCTT